CTCAGGCTGGTTTCGAACTCCTGAGCTCAAACAATCCGCCTGCCTCGGCCTCCCAGAGTGCTAGGATTACAGGCGTGAGCCACCGTGCCCGGCCAAGCTGTTCTTTTGTTTAAAATGAAAATGCCTGTAGGTTCCATGAGAAAAAGGTAGAGCCTAAAAACCTGATTGCATAATTTATCGAAGACATCATTGTTCTTTAGTAGCTGAAGTATTATAGACATAGGAGAAATAAATATTATTTTAGTACTTTGAGTTGTGCATGTAAAGTGCTTAGAGGAATGCCTAGCACACAGTAGGTGGCCACTGCTATTCTGAGTCCCTTCATGCCCCATTATAGCCAGTGAGCTATCACTGCCAGTAGCCTTGTTTCCCCCCTTTGTCTCTCGCCCTTGTTATCCTCCGTTATTCTGATACGGGAGTGGGATGGAGGACAGCGGCTGGAGCCCTCACACATGACACCATCTCTGCAGGTGAATGCCATTTGCTATGGGGCCAAGATCATGCTTCCAGGTGTTCTCCGATACGAGGACGGCATTGAGGTCAATCAGGAGATTGTGGTCATCACCACCAAAGGGGAAGCAATCTGCATGGGTAAGGGGGGATGTTGCCCTCATCACTTCTGAAGTTGGGGCTCCATTTACACATCCTGAGCAAAAGAAACCACCATTAAAGTAGTAGAGCTTGGAATTTTAAATGAGGTTTAAAGTGGCATAAAATGGTGGTATTGGGGCTCATCAGTTATCAGGTCTTTCCCCTTTAAGTCATTCTTTTTTCTCTTCAACATATGTAGCTATTGCATTAATGACCACAGCAGTGATCTCTACCTGTGACCATGGTATAGTAGCCAAGATCAAGAGAGTGATCATGGAGAGAGATACTTACCCTCGGAAGTGGGGATTGGGTCCAAAGGTAGGTGGGACTGGGTTGTGTGCCCTGCCAAGCTATTTTGTTTCATATTGTTGAACACTCAGGCAGCTCTTGGTGTGTCCCCACTGCCCCAGCCTTGTATTGTGCTGGACTCTGGATTGTCAGTGGTGAGTGGAAATAGGCCCTGACTTGGACCTTAGAGATTTCAGTCTAATAGAGGGAAACAGTTGGGCATTACTTGAATAATCACACAGTGGAGTGGTGAATTCAGCCATGTTAATGGCTTTCAAGGAGTACAGAGAGGTGTCTGGCACCTGGAGAGTCCACAGTGAGGAGTTTGACATGGTCAGGGGGTCTGAGCAAGGTGTCTTCTCTTAAGCCATGCCAGTGTGATGGGTGGGTTAGATGTTAATGAGGTAAAGAGGGGAGGGAAGAGTTCAGGGCACTGAGACAGCATGTACAAAAGCCTTTGCGCAGGAGTTTGAGGCCTTGCTGAGAATACACAAGGGAGGAACCTTGTGCCATTCTGTGCAATCTTAATGCCTGCTTCCTGCATTGACACTGTTCTAATGTTGAGACCATGACATTCCACCAGGCAAGTCAGAAGAGGCTGATGATCAAGCAGGGCCTTCTGGACAAGCATGGCAAACCTACAGACAGCACACCTGCCACCTGGAAGCAGGAATATGTTGATTACAGGTGAGGGCAGGCTGTTTCAGAGCTGGAGTGGGTAGAGACAGCATACTTGCTGTCTTAATGTGGGAGTACATCGACAACCGGTGAGGAGAGGAAGATAGAGACAGCATACTTGCCATTTAAACACAGGAGCACATAGACAACAGGTGAGGATGGGAGATGCAGAGCCCAGGGGAGGGAGTAGCTTAGTTTGGGGCAAACTTGCTAAATGTAGGCCCATAGGAACCAATCAATGTTACAGCTCAGTTTTCCTTGTTGGGCTCTGTGAGACCTTGGCTGCCTGGGCCAATTAGGGCTTGGCCTGCACAGCAGACAGTTATCCCTTTCTAGTCTGGCTCCTGGGACTCTAGAGGGAGTCAGTCTGCAACAGTAAGTGGTGAGTTTTTCTGTCCAGCGTCAGTATTTTGATGGTGGCTTTAGACTTGCCAGATATCAGTGCACAACTGAGGATTCATTAATGCTACCCTGGAAAGCCATTCAGTGAATTTGACCTATTGCTGTCTTTCCTCTTTCAGTGATTCTACCAAGAGAGACGTGGTTGCTGAAGCAGTAAAAGCTCCACTGGTAGTTGCCGAAATGGTAAAAGTCCCGCAGGTAGTTGCTGAAGTAGTAAAAGCCCCAAAGGTGAGTGGCATGCTGTGATCTGTTTGGAATGTGCTTCTGGAGATAATTCTAAGAAGCACTGGTTTTTTGCTTACCTTGGTGACTGTCTGCAGTCTAGTCATATATCCTGGCTTGGTTATAGTAGGGTTTCTCACCTTCATCAGAGCTGCAGCACACACATAGATAATGTTATCTCGTACCCTTGGGTATCTATCTGTTGGGCTCTGCACGCTCCTCTGATTCATATTCCCTGTCATGTCTACTGGGGGGAGTGTGGGCTCAGGAGTCAGACTAGCCTTGGCTTCCCCCCTCAGCTACAGCAACAACACTGGGATGGAATGGATGGCACATATGGTATTCTAGCCCCTATCCTGGGTCAAGTGGTAGCACAGGCATGTTGAAATTAGAGGCCATGGCAGGTTGTAGTTGACACTTGGGGCTGTATAAAACTCAACAGGGAGCAAAATTTTCTCCAAGATGGGCAAAATTCTCTAGCCCCAGCCCAGTGTTTAAAGAGGCAACTTGGCTTCCCAGGGCTGGGAATCACTGGCATTAGAGCACAGAATGACATGTCTGCACTCAGAATCCTTGGGTGGTACCAAGCATCCTGGAACAAGCTGTGTGGGAACAACTTCTGACTTGTCAAACATGAATTCCTGCTTCGCCTGCTTTCTTTGAGGACTTAAGGGAGCACTCTTAGAGGTCCTTGTGGTCCACCTTTCATGAAACAGTTCCTCAGGGCCTTTTAGTCCCCAAGCCTGGTGCTGCTGCTTTCAGGACCCACGGCTTCTTTGACTTTTGGGATGAGACAAATCCACAGTAAACTAAAGCCCTGTCGGGGTTTTTAATGAGAAAACTTACTGTTGGAGCCAACTGGGATCTTTCTTGGTGCCTCCCTACCTTTAGACTGAAATTTTCTTGTTATTGCCCAAGATCGATCTAACTTTTGATCAATTGCTCTCATCTCAGCGGAAGCGAGAAAGTGAGAGTGAAAGTGATGAGACTCCTCCAGCGGCTCCCCAATTGATCAAGAAGGAAAAGAAGAAGAATAAGAAGGACAAGAAGACTAGAGCTGCTCTAGAGAGTAGGGGCGAGCCTGGAGACGGGGTGAGTATAAACATGTTCAGGCTCCTTGGGTTGGCTTAGTTCTTAGTGGGGGAACAATTACCCAGGTGGTGCCAGCTTTGTTACTCCTGGAGGAGCTGTGGCCCAAAGGTGGGATGCTAACCGTGCCTCTTGCTAGTCAGTGCCTTTAGTGCCTGCTTATGTTCCTGGAGTGCCCTTGCTGACCCCCATGGATGGACAAATAGAGGCACCTGGCATCATATAGTGACTGCTCAGAGTTAGAACTCTGTTGATGGTGGATGGGGAGGATGTGTACCTACTGGTAATCAGAATGTTCCCACTTGTAAAAGTAGACCACTTAGGGTGTCACTGAAAATTTCACAGAACTTTGCGTTACATGCACAATTTATTTAATCCAAAATATCCTTACGGATCTTGAAAAGGCTGACTTGACTATGTGGAACTTAGCAGATTTCCATGATTATTTTGTTAATGGATGCTAGGAGCTTTTTCTCTTTCTCTCTAGGACAGTGACACCATCAAAAAGAAGAAGAAAAAGAAGAAAGCAAAAGGGGTAGAAGTGATTTCTGAGTAGTGAGGGCCATGTTAAGCATTGTGTCCAACTGGGAGGAGAAATTAAAGCCTTATTGAGAAAACATTGTTCCTTTTGTTGTTGAGGGAATGGAACATAGGTCCTGGACAGGGTGGAGAGTTCTGGCACATTTTAGCTGCTGTTTGAGACCTTGGTGATGTTACCTGGTGTGATCATCCCATCTTGTCCTGTTTTAAGGATATGGGTGATAAAAGAGGCAGATTTTATGCCAATGACTCCTCTGCTTGTTTGAGTTGGGAAGCCTCACCTTCAGACCCAGTAACTGTCCACAGCTGTCTGTTAGTGGCTGTTTTAAAAACATCATAGTCCTCTCCTAGTTTGCTTTTCCTTTTTTACCCCATATTTTTAAAAAGTTTGTAAAAAAATTATGTCTGCTCAGTGAAATGGTGTAGAACCTTCAATAAGTGAAAGAAGACTATAACTGAATCACATTGTTCGCTGGGGAAAATCTTGTCTCCAATGTGCTATGAAGACAGTGGTTTATTCTGGTGTCTGGGGTATAGGCCTGGCAGCCTGGTAGATTTTCATCTTGTTTCTGGCCTAGCAGTCAGTCTTTTATGCACTTCAAAGCTTGTGTGTATGGCAATATTCACCTAAATCTATCTGGCTACTTGTGTTTGTGACAGAAGCTGAACCGTTCCTGTACCCTTTTGTTTTAGCCCTCTTTTAAAGAATGAAATCATTCATTGCTGGGAGAAGAATGTTATAATTTTTACTTATTAAAGTTGACTCATTAAGTTTTTTTAAAATATTCCTCTTGGGTTTTCTAATTCTTGGTGACCTTAAGCTAGCAGAGCAAAAAATACAAAATATTTTGATTAAAACTCTGGGGACCTTTATATCCTATTTGAAATTTGGTGCTTTTCCTTTATGCTTGGCTAGTGTTACATTTCTTTGATTCTGTATCATAAAATATTTACCTTTGGGGCCTGACATGGGAGCAAATGCTCTGAGGGGGTGATCATCACAAATCCAGTGATATCCAGAAGAACAGAGAAGAAAGGTTACCTGTGTTATATGTAGTGGGCCTGGGAGGGGTACATAGCCGCAGACACGTCTAGATCAGACTTGGTGGTAGGAAGGAGCCCATGGAAGCTATCAGTTCTGGTGCTGATGGCAGGATGAGTAGGGAGGAGGAATCTGAAGGCCTTCATGACATAGGTGGTTAGTGGAAGACAGATCCTAGGATTGCTTCGAATTTGGTATTAAAAATCAAGAACAAGGAGCACTTTGTGGGGGTCTTTGGATGCAGTGAAGAGAGGCCCTGAGCTGTAGCTGTGTGATGAGCCTGGTATGCAGAGTTGACCCTGGCACTGGCTCATCTCAGTGCTCATCTGTTGCACCACTAGGCCCCAGGCCAGGTTTTCTTCCTTCTAAATGTGAGTTTTAGCAGGAAAATTAAATGTGTGCCCACAATGGGCACCCACCCAGATAAGACAAACTTAAGGTGCTTTTCTACATGGGCATTAGCTGCTAGAGACCTGTAGTGGGGATATGAAGAATGGGAGTTCTTCAAGGGCAGGAGTGTTTATAATCTTAGTCCCATCTGAACCCAGGAAAGGCATCTTGCGTCGATGCCTTTGTCCAGGAGCTTAATGAGGTTGGCAACATTTCCCTCTCCAGAGGTTTGTGGTGCTGGTGGAAACGCAGAGTTACAAGGTCATTGGTATTTTAACACAGCAACATTTTTATTGCTTTTGAGGGTCTCCCTGGAGCAAACATCATTCTATTGCACAGATGTCTCATTTTGGCATTTTAGAAAGTTGAAGGAAGACAGGCTTTAGAGGGACAGGGTCCATTGCTTTTTTGTGCATCATCTTTGATTAGCAATTATATTTTGATAGTACTTTTTACTCCCAATTTTCAGAGATCCTTTTGAAATCCAGATCAATGGGGCCCCATCTATCGGCAAAATCAAATCCCAGCCCTTAAGAAGCCTGAGCAAGAAGACTGAATCCTGTTAGCTTTGTAAGTATAGTTGCAGAGAGCTGGAAGCTGACACAAAACTAGTTGGAGCGGCCCTGTTTGTCTTAAAGCAAGGAGAATGGAGTTATAAATGCTGGAAAGGAGCAGGTGGGTCCCCCCATTCTGTAAACTTAGTATACCCAGGAGACAGGCACCCACTGTGGAGAACTGCATGCCTGGTCAAAGGCTTCTTGCAGTTTCTTAAGGGTTTCATCAACGCCATTATTGACCAGTGAGAGGTCAAAGTAGTGAGCGTACTGGCTGCGGATGGCTTCTGAGTCCTTCTGCAGTTGCTGCAGGGCTTCTGTCTGCAAAGAAGAAAGAGCCATGTATGAAGCAGGCCACAGCACATCAGCCCAGAGAGGCCAGCAACAGGTTTTTTTTTTTGAGACAGTCTTGCTCTGTCACCCGGGCTAGAGTGCGGTGGCGTCATCATAGCTCACACAGCAACCTCAAACTCCTGGGCTCAAGTGATCCTCCTGCCTCAGCCTCCTGAGTAGCTGGGACTACAGGCACGTGCTACCATGCCTGGCTAATTTTTTCTATTTTTAGTTGTCTGGCTAATTTATTTTCTTTTAGTAGACACGGGGTCTCACTCTTGCTGAGGCTGGTCTTGAACTCCTGAGCTTAAACGATCCTCCCGCCTGGGCCTCTCAGAGTGCTAGGATTACAGGCGTGAGCCGCCACACCCGGCCCAGCAACAGATTTTAAACAGGCATTTGCTGTTAGCATTGCTCAGCTCCATATCAGCTACTTAAAAATACAAACTCTGAAGATGTTGCTTGAGATTGTTAACAGTATGGGGAGGCAATCAATGAAGAACACTGCAATTCTCACCCTCTGGGTGACCAATGGCTACCAATAGCATGGATTTCACCATCTCCCAGTTCATGCCCTTTGAACATGGAAGAGCCATTTCAGCATCCACTAGAGCTGCAATCTCAGAACAAAGATAAAGGTGATTTATAATCCCAGGCCTCTTTGACCCCAAATCAAGCAGCAATGGAAAGAATGATGATTTAACTGCATAAAAGTAAAAATGTATGTAAAGCAAAAAAACACAAAAAGACATGCCAAATTGGGGAAAAAAATATTTGCAACTGATATCACAATGAGCTAATTACCCTAATACAGAGTTCCTAGAAATGTGATAGAGGCTAAATAACCCAACAGAAAAATGAGCTAAGGACATGACCAGATAATTTGCACAAAATGCAATAAAAATGGCTCATAATGGTATGAAAAGATAGTCTCTTACAGTAAAAGATAAAGCATGAGGTACCATTTTTCCCTCTACTAGATTCGCAAAAAATGGAAATCTCAACAACATGCAAGCAAAGGGAACCAAGCACTCTCACAGGTAGGGACTGTAAATCAGTGCTAAAGGAGCTCAATTTGGGAATCCCTATCCAAATGCCAAGTGCACACACTCATGGACCCAGTGATCCTTGGAGTTTCTCTTCTGGATGTGTTTGCATACATGTGACATGCCATATGTACAGGACTATTGATTGAAGTATTTATAATAGTCAGTGTTTTAAAACAACCCAAGTGGCCATCAACAAGGGAATGGTTAAACTAAATAATTATGATACATACATGCAATAGAAGACTGTGTACTTATTAAGGAAAAAGGAAGTTCTTTACATGCAAATAGGGAAAGATCTCCATTGTTCAATGAAAAAGCAAGGTACAACAAAGTACATGGGTAGGACTGGGTGGAGCAGATAGGAACTGGGTAGGGGGGAGCAGGAGAGGCTTTTCAATACATTCCTGGCCTCTCCCCACGGCCATACCACAACCCAGAGTGGGTTCAGCACTGCCTCTATTCATCACAGCTCTCCCTGCTTGCCCTGTCTGAGCCTGCATCAAACCAGAGTGTCAGGATTTGCTCAGTTGTCAATCTGCCACTGGACCCATGTGCCTCTGGGACAATGACTAGGTCTGGTTTTGTCCTGTTACTTAGCATGGGCGCTGGCCTAGCTACTGGCTTAGTAACTGTTGAGTGAATAAAATGTGCATGCCTTTGGCTTCTTGGCCTTGGAGGAAGAAGCCCAGCTGGAGCTGAGCTTCAGCCAGCACTCTGGCCAATGACTGGGACTGATGTCCTAGTTTGGGTAGGCCCAGAGAAAGTGAACCCCCACCCACCCTACATAACCTCCTCCTTCCCACCTGAGTGCCTTGGTCAGTAGGTGCAATGAACACAATGAAAGGTGAAAGTTCTGCTGTCCGAACAATCTTCAGGGTCTAGAAAAGGGAAAGGGAAGAAGGAAGAGAAGGAAAGAGAAAAAAAAACATAGCTGTCATAATGGATTTCTTCTAATAAGCAGCTTTGGGCTTTATCCCAATACTATTTTCCATCCTTCCCAGTACTGCTATTCTTGTTCCAGGCTGACCCCATTAAAAGTACTGAAGCAACCCTGAGCTCCCAGAAAATTCCCAGTAACACTGCTTCTCAGCACCCTCCTTCCACATCCCTTGTGTGGCTGAGCCCGTAACTCCTACCTTTCCATGCCTACCCACCTGGGGCTCGATGTCAAGGATGGCGATCTTGTCCTGCTTATGAATCTGGTGCACCGTTTCAAATTTGGTGCCAAACATGTTGCCCTGGTAGCTACCAAACTCTAAGAACTCATTGGCAGAGATGTCCCTTGTCATCTCCTCTGTTGATATGAAGTGGTACTCCTTCCCATCTTCCTCGCTCTTCCTTGGTGGCCGTGTTGTATCTGTGTATAAGAACCCAAATCCCTGATGAACTCTGGGTCCTCGCCCTTGCATAAGAGCTTGGACTATGGTATCTGTATTGAAACCCTAGCTGCATCTGGTGCAGTGTTTCATAGAGTGTTTCATAGGAGCCCTCCCATGGGCTCCTGAAGGGCTGATGCTAGGTGATGCAGATCAAGAAATCCCCTCATCTGCCCAGAATACATTTAATTTTTTTTTTTTTTTGAGACAGAGTCTTGCTCTGTTGCCCGGGCTAGAGTGAGTGCCGTGGCGTCAGCCTAGCTCACAGCAACCTCAAACTCCTGGGCTCAAGCAATCCTTCTGCCTCAGCCTCCCAAGTAGCTGGGACTACAGGCATGCGCCACCATACCCAGCTAATTTTTTCTATATATATATATATTTTTAGTTGTCCAGATCATTTCTTTCTATTTTTTAGTAGAGACGGGGTCTCACTCTTGCTCAGGCTGCTCTTGAACTCCTGAGCTCAAGCGATCCTCCCACCTTGGCCTCCCAGAGTGCTAGGATTACAGGCGTGAGCCACCGTGCCCAGCCGAACACATTTAATTTTTAAGGGGCAAAGGCCAATGTAGAAAATTCCTATCATAATTTTCCCTATATGAAGTTACATCTCTTACATCTCTCAAACCACCAAATCCAGGAATACTGAAGCTCAGAAATGAAGAAATGACAGCTGAAAATATTTTAAAAACATCTATGGGCTGTAGTCAGAATTTCTTGGAAATGTATTTAAAGTTTCTTTTTCGTGACTTGGAAAGAAGAGTACTTTCATTTGGTTTAAACTCATATTGTTAAAAGTTGGAATGTTCTTAAAAGTCACATTTTCTATTACTCATATAAATCGTCTAATTAGTAAAATATTCTCCAGATATTGTAGTTGGAAACACAATCCTCCCAACCTCTCCCCTTGTTTCATCTTCTGTTGGACATCTCCTTTGCCTTCCATATCATCCACTTGTCTCTCAACTGGCTCCTTCCCCTTAATC